TGGCAGTGGATTAACAGAGACTGAAAATTACTGTTATTAAATCAGGTGCAAGGAACAATGCGATGTAATACAGAGATTAAGCAGTTACAACTGTAGGCTCGCACACCCTGCTCGCATAGCATTTTCTCTCTTTTATGTTTCAAAAATACGGCAGCAGCTACAGCAATTACATAATAAAGCATATCCCTGCCTCTCTGATCACTGCCTTTCATCAAATACCACTGTCATTCAGTGATGTCATTGAACATGAATCAAAATCATGTCCATGAATACAGAATAATATAAGTGGCTAACTGACATGGACATTTTCATCTTTAAAAGTTTAGGTAATAGCGAGTGAATTAAAAGGACTGCACAAATAGGGCATCCATATAATGGCATTACTGGAGTGACCAATGGTGTGATTACAATCCCATTGGATGGTGCATCTTGGATGAGCCACAGATTACAGAATGTCGTTCTAGCGAGCCCGATTATGGAATCTTGCCAATGTGAAGTATAATGTATCGGCATAGTTGAGTGTATAATTGCGTTGGTACTATTTACGCGAAGCTTTCATTAACAGGCCAGCGAGTCACCTTAAAACGTTCCTGTTCTGGTGATAATTATTGGTTGAATTACCATTTCATCTCACATGCCAAGTTGCAGGATTTTTTAAAATATACAGAAAAGTTGGGGCAGTGAGACAGAACCGCATAAGAGAAGTGGTGGCTTTCCTGAATCGCAATGTTAAGCAGCTGCCTGAACCTTGTATCCTTGATCTGAGCTTTGTAGCAAAACTCCCAATATGCCGAAACATAAGGCTAAGTTAAATAAAAGCGAAAATTATATTCTCTCTGTATGGATTGGGGTCTTATATTTTATATGGTGTACTCTTGCTAGATACATCTGGTAATCTAGCAACATTTGTTTAACAGGCCTGACTGCTGATGAGACCCAAACAGTCAAAACCAGCGCCGAGTTTGCTTCCTTAAACATATTCTGCTTGATAGTTTTGGACTGGAAAGCCAATATGTCGATAGACTCAGAGCAATATCTTGTATTTTATGTGGAGACATAATATGGAGTTCTGCTCATATTCTCTTGTACCCATTAAGCTAAGCGATGCATTTGACTGGTTCCATATACAGCTAAATGCTTTTATTTACCCTGCTAAATGTTAATGACCCTCTTACTGTCTTCTCAACAGGTAATTAAATATTGTGAAGCGATGGCTCCGTGCCTTACAGAGGAGGGCGTTCAATTATTTAATAAGGGTCATCCGATTCCGGTGGGATATGTGTATCGGCTTTGAAATGAAATGCTGTATTCTCTATAATTCCTCCAGATTATTTTCGTGGGGTATCCATGACTGTAGGAACAAGATTATCCCCCCCCCCCCCCCACCTTTAAACGGTCAATGTAGCCCTGCACCGTCAATACCCCCCAGGTGATTTAATTGGAGAAATGCGTTCGGGTCCAAACGGTTGAAAAACTCGGCACGTGCCTTTTCGCTTACACACTGAAGCCACACGTGACGGGACGCACAACCTACCGATGCGCTCCCCTTAACACCGAGTGCGTTCACGTTTCACTTCTTGTTACCACGTAAACTCACTGCAGTGTACCGTGTGAATGTTAGAGGTCGCTTAACACCACTGGCTAAGCATTTTATGAAGCCCGAGCTGCCGATGGATGACGAGCCGCAGAACCCACAGAGGGCCCATCTAAAAATCCACGAAATCTATTTTATTTTATTTCGGTCTGAAGTGGAGGCTCTCGAAACTGGCAGCAGGCTCGACCCTGTGGGAGTGAACCCTGACGAGCAGAATGAACGTAAACAAGGCATCTGCAACAGATACATCGTCTCGGACCCCCCCCCCCCCCCCCCACACAGAAACCCCCCCGCCGCCACCCCGCCACCCCCGGCTTCCATCTGTCCGTAAAACTCTGGACCACACTCAACCGTGCAAGGACATCACACGGGTGCTGTGCCTATCTCATGCACAATGGGGGAATTAAAGAGAATCCCCCCACGGATTGCAATTACAGCTCCACGCCACAAGCGATGGACCTTATCGTAAACCACGGCCGCACAACATTGCTCAACGGAGGAATGGAGGAGCTCCACGCGGCATCCACAAATGTCAGCAAGTGGCTCCATACGCTGGATCCAAGCGTCTAAATTGCCTTTTGAGTTTTTTTCATTCAGCCACAAGTGAGAAAGAAACGTTTATCGTTGTGTGTGTGTGTGGTTACCAACGTGATCAACACTCAAATCCACGCCTCCGATTAGCGTGGTTGACTACGTATGGTGCGAAAGAAGTTGAACATACATACAAGTCCACGCAAGTGGGGGGAGAAAAATTTTCTGGAGCTCAGCATTGGACAGCTCCAGTTGAAATTAAGCAATGTGTATAATCAATTTTTTAAATCACACACGGTGCAACAATCCAAACGCATGTCTCTGTGCCTTGTTAAATATATTACTGACCACAATGGACCCTCGACTCATTATATCAGATGTACACAATGCTATTATGTAATGACAACAATTACACAAGCTTATATGTACATGTATAAAATGCCTCACCCAACAGGTTGTCTTACAATCTAAAATGATAAAATATGTAAAACTACAACTGTGAAGTAAAATATTAAGCAACAGGGGAGGGCAGTAATGGCAATATATTTAAATGAGATAGTACTTTCAGTAATCACACTTCACTTTAATTCAGAGTACATAGCATTTAGATAAAGCGATTATTTAAAGGTGTGAGTGACCGCTCAGACTTTCAGTATGCTTGGCAAGTGAACCCTGGGAAACTAAAGGAAACGTGAACAAAGCAGACACAGCAAATCATAATCAGACAGATCCTATCCACCACTGGATGAAGGCCTCCATCATGGTCATATGATGTCACAATTCTATCTTGCTCCTGCACATCGCTGGAGCGCCGCTGTGGCGAAATGTTAACTCCATCGCCTGGTATTCAGGTTGTGACTTCAATCCAGACGCTGACGCCTGCTGTATATTTGAAGTTTGCATGTCTCTCTCCCCGTGGTCTGGTGGATTTTTCTCCGGGTCCTCGGGTTTTTCCGTCCACATTTAGAAACATCTGGTCAGAGTAATTGGCTGCTAAAACACGATTCCACATGATAAGCCACTTTATTGAGCTATTATTTGTGGCCAGGTCACTTCTGATAAAGATTCATGAAGCTCAGTGGGCCTCATCTGGTAACAAAAATAATAAGAAAAGAGTCGTTCAGTTGAGATTACCTCAACGCTCCATCCCCATGGTGGTCGTTCCCCATTGTGGTTGACATTGCTATTTTTATCTTCCTCCATCGGCCACCATCCCATGTGGCAATGTGTCCTGCTCTTAAATTTTGATTTAAAGCTTTCGTGACTGCAGGGATTCATATTCTTGGTTCTTTTGGTAAAGTCACGTAGAAGGGAAACAATAAAATAGTATTGTTTTATATTTTTGTTATTTTATTGTTTCCCTTCTACGTGACTTTACCGAAAGAACCAAGAATATGTCCTGCCCTTGTCCACTAGATTAAAATTCAACACGATGTCTCTAATTTACAATCGTTCACCAATCCGTGCGTTTCTCTTTCTGCCTCTGAGTGTAATTCCCGGCATGCATCTCTCCGCACATGTTTGCTCACTGTTTCACGTTCTGAAGTATGGCCCGAGGCATTGTGATCACACACTCGTGAAATAATTTCATCCTTATAAGACAATAAAGCCTTTCTCTTCTCCTTATGCTAATTAAGAATTGCAAACGTACTTACAAATACAATATAAGCAGCGAAGTAAAAAAAATAAAACCTTAAATTAGACGCGATGTCGTATATAATATTCACAGACATATCCAAAGTTTCCGCACAACTTAGTATATCTATATTATTTTGGTCTTTCGGTAAAGTCATGTAGATAGGTTCAAAGAAAATAACAAAAAACTACGACGTTTCGATCGCAACACAAGAAGTCGTCATCTCTTCCTGAACTATGACGTATCGATCGTAGTTTTTTTTTTCTTTGAACCTTATCTACGTGACTTTACCGAAAGACCCAAAGAATATTAATTCCTGCAGTCACGAATGCTTTCAAGATTTGACTTAGTATATCGCCAAAGCAAACAATAATGGCACTCTACACGAGTTGTTCTATGTGGTAGTTTACTATGTAGTCCAATGTATACAATGGTATTGGTCGTCTTGGAACGTTATGTGATCAAAGTTCATGTGTGCTCCTGCCTTATAGACTCACACCAGAGCTATAGCCTCACACATAGTCCCATATACACACACAGAGACCCATCGACTCACACCGACCCAAAGACACACACAGAGACCCATCGATTCACACCAACACAAAGACTCACACAGATCCATAGACTCGCACAGATCCATAGACTTACGCAGACCCATAGACTCACAAAGATCCATAGACTCACACAGACCCAAAGACCCGCACAGAGACCCAAAGGCTCACACAGAGCCATAGACTCACACAGAGACCCAAAGACTCACACAGAGACCCAAAGGCTCACACAGACCCAAAGACACACACAGAGACCCATCGACTCACACCGACCCAAAGACTCACACAGACCCATAGACTCACACAGACCCAAAGACTCGCACAGAGACCCAAATGCTCACAAAGAGCCATAGACTCACACATACCCATAGACTTACGCAGACCCATAGACTCACACAGAGACCCACAGACTTACACATCAATCGTTGAAAGTTAGGTTCATATGCAGTGATCTGTGTTATTATGCTCGTTTTTAAAGCTTGTGTTCTACACTCTAGTAGCTAAATTTGTTTTAAACTTGCGTGAATCACAATATCAAGTAAAACATTATTACTGACGGTGATTATGATGATTACAATCACGGGGCGGGGGCATCATATGGGCCACAATGCCCCTCTTCCACACTCGCGCGCACCGCCTCCTCTGTGCCGCGTGACCCCCATTGAACCCCGGTGTGTTGCGTGTGAAGGTACATGGCGATCCGGCACCCGCTCAAGCCACGCATGACGGCGCAGAGCACCCGCTTGGTGATGGCCGGCATCTGGGCTCTTGCCATGTGCCTCTCCCTACCGCTGTCCATCTACTCGCGCGTCGAGCAGAGGTTCGGCCGCTTCGTCTGCCTCGTGGACTGGCCCGGAAAGATGGGCGGAGACAGCCAGTTCATGTGAGTCGCCCGTCTCATCTCGCGCGAGCGCTACTGGCGGGCAGCCCGCACGTCCTGCGGTCGGGGTGATGTGACGATCGCGTGATCTCGTCAAGGAGCGGTCATCCTTGCAGCGGCGGCTTTTGGCTCGCCATCGAACAAAGCCGGCCATGTGCGTCTTGCGCTTTCAGATGCGCTTCTGCGGCCGTCTGCAACGCTCTTCTTTCCGATATTAGGAGGCCAATGGAGATATGCACTTTTAGATGTAGATTGGAAACTTATTTCTTTAGATTCTTCTTTTTGCGTTTAGTCTGTTGTCATTCACCCTGCACCTCCGATTAGCACGGTTGGCTACGTACAGTGCGAAATAAGTTCAACACACATACGTACGGATCTTTCACAGCTTTCACAAACCAGCTGACCAGCATAGGCATGGTGGCACACCTTGCATGCCCACCGAAGCAAGTGGGCACTCTGGCTCCACGTCCAAATGCAATACTGATAATGCACCAGCATTGCATTTCATCTATGACAAAGTAGTTTTTTGGTGGGGGGGGAGGCGGGGGGGACCCTCAAAATCCGAGTCCCCTGGGCCGTAGCCTTGAAAGCCTCTGCGCTAATCTGGCGACCCATACAAGTTGTCCTTGTATCCAGCTTCTACTGCGGTACATGGGTCCGTCGATTGGCAATCATGAAGTGGGAAGAACCGGGTGGTGAGCTCCCCCGTACTCAAGAGACGGGGAGGTGTCGCAATTGAAGGAAGGGCTTCGAAATGGGAATTAAACGCGCGGGCTTTGGGAGGGGGTCGTGAGGGTTTGCGGGCGGAGGGGATGGTGAAAGAGTTGCGCGAGGAGTGGTGTGAGAGAGAGTGAGTGAGGAGAGGCAGGGAGGAGGGGAGGGAGGCGTGGGGAAGGGTCACAGCACCTTATAAATCCCTAATGGGTGGGTGTCAGAGAATCAGACACGCCACTGTCAGCAGCGGTTTGCAATTCCCCGTCCGCAAACACAGCCACGCGGCCACCCCCCACGGCCACCCCCCATACACGGCCACCTCCCATACGCGGCTACCCCCCAGACGTGGTGTACTTTCCATTCATACTTCTGGGCTGACAGGGGATTTTTAAATCAAAGGAGTTTTCCCTATAAAAAGTTACCCGTTGTTTTCAAATGGTGCACAGGTAAATCAAATCGAACCAGCGACCTCTGGATTGCAAATGGAATGTGCTAACAGCTACACCACGACAGCATCCCTTGATCTCGCTATGGACATAAATATAGGACCCCATCACCAGTTATGATTTGCAATGAAGCTGCCCGCTGCGTGCAATGCGGTGCTCATTGTATGTCGTGCATGCGGGTACCCTTCCAAAGAAAAACAAATTGCCCCACGAGTTCATGAAATTGTCCTCGTTACGTAAGAATAACATACATTCACACACACAGCGGTGCTTTTTGTCAAACGACCACTTTTAATGGCGTGTTCATCAAGTGCGGCGCACAAGCTTGGTTACGGGAGCAGAGAGCGGGTTGATAAATTTGTATTATAATCTACTCTGAATTACTATTCAGCCGTAACACAGGCCCCGCTCTCGGTGATTCCGCTGGCCTGGATGCCCCGCATAAAAAGGAAACACTCAACATGATTTAAGCATCAGTGAACATTGACGCCATCCACATCTCTCATTTACAGCTCCTTGATCCAATTGTGGAAATGCCACATTCCTACAACAGGGACGGAGTTTCTCCAGAGGACAACCGCTGTTTGGATTCCCCTACAAAGTGGTACATATTTTATCAACCCCGCCGTGGGGATGATGGGCTGAATCAACCCCCAAACCGGCATTTGAACTTTGCAACATTCCCATTGCAAGCCGCTCACTCGCTCAACAGCGAAGCTACAAGAACGGATCATGAAAGGCACCGTGGGCGCTAAGATAGATTGAGGCTGTTTGATAATATGCTGTTCACAGAGGTGCAAATAGGTGCATAATGAAATGGGCGGTTGAATTTTAACAAGGAAACCTATGCTGCTATTGAGCCAACATTAACATTATTTTCCCACAATTTTAACCCATTGATTGCATACATTCGAATGTCGAAGCAGCTACCTCGTGTTCAAAACTGTTAATTAATCGTTCTGCATTTCATTCGCTGTGAACGATGTAACATCTCTCCTAAGGTGCTTTGCAGGTCTCTTTTTAGCAAAGCAGTCTGTGGCTGAATGTCACCCAACTGCGTGACCCAATCTAATTGAACTGTAACGGACTGACGCCAAGAACAGGCAAACACTCGAGGACCCACTTTAGTCGCAGGCGACTGCCTGGATTCGATTCCAGGATCTTAGCAATACCAGCCGGGGCCACAGACACACCGTGCATGTTGGGGGTGTCACATTAGCGGATGTTTCCCGGAGGTTATTGGTTAGATTGGAAGATCTGATTCACAAAGTTCAACTCTCTTCTTTCTGCAGGGATAAGATCAGTTCTACTGCACTCTAACTATATTAAATCTGCGCGAATACCGGATACTGACTCGGCACTGAACCGATATGTTCATACGCTGCCGTGTATTTAAACAACTCGTCACATTCCACACAAAATGTGTCCGTTAAAGGCCGTGTTATTAACAAACGTGTCGAGTTTTTTTGTTTCAGTATCATCAAATAATTTGTGCACAGGATGTAAAAGTTCAGTCATGAGCATATATTTTCGTAGTCTAATTGACACCGTCATTCTGAAAAAATAGTGATGTTTACTGGACATCTGTGTGAAAGAGCATCATAGCTCATCGGATTTCCACAGGATAAATAAAGATTCTGATTTTGATTTGTCCAAAATATCGTGGGTCTTTCTTAGTCATGATTTTCCAACGGAGTGACTCGATCGTGTGTGGAAATATAAACTCGAATATCGGGGTTCGTGACCCACACGGGGGCTTTGTGTGGGCTTTTCATTGGGACACCCACAGTGAAATGTATGTTGAACTCTTTCCCACCGTACGTAGCCAACCGTGCTAATCGGGGGCGCGGGGGAAGGACGCTTCAACGTCTATGCCCCTCCTTGCTATTTCCAACCCGCACTGACCAGCGTTGTGACGTGCAGTCACAAACAATTCCCACAACACGGCCTGGGGAGACCCTCATCCATCAGTGGATTGACAAAGAGGTGCCACGTGTACCAGAACCAATGGGAGTAGAGCGGTAGGGTATTGGGGGGCGGCGGGGGCGAGGCTGCTAATGCCGTGGGTGGGGGTTGACGTGGTTGGTGTCGTTGCCGTGATTGGATAAACTGACTAACGGTGGCCTGGACTGATCTTTTCATCCCGTCCTGTTGTTGAACTCGTCAAACTCGAATGTCTTCACTCCTGGACCTTGGGGGGTTTCAGTTGCATTTATTTGGTATAGCCCTGTGAGCCATTCGGCTCTTGAATCGGGTGCAACCACAACAAACAAAAACATGAACAAGAAACATCTTAAAGTGACTACGCGCAAACAGAAAAATCCAGGAAAAAAACAGCAAAGTCTTCCAGAAAAAGCACCGTATTTCAATGCTGTGTGCAAAAATCCCAGTGGGATGCAATTCAAACAATAACAACCATAAGACAATTTAGATTAAAGTTATCAGTCTAACTCTGTGCTACAAGAAACAAATATGGCTAAACCAAAACGTTTTCGAAATCACCAAAATAAAGCTATAAAAAGCAATGTAACAGTGATGGGGGGTGGCTGCTCCTGGCCCTTCAACTAAAACCTATTTAAACTAAGCTGATCGGAGGTGCGGGGGAGGGGGCAACAAACGTAAACACAGCTTCAGCGCCCGCTCAACTCTTTGAGCCACCCGGATGCCTCCTCGTTGAACCAAACACTGTTTAACGCCCGATGGCTCGCTCGCTCACCGTGTCCCGCAGATACCAGCTGGTGGTGATGACCCTGGTGTACGTATTCCCTCTGCTGGTGATGGCCGTCACCTACACGATAGTGGGAGTCACGCTCTGGGGGGGGACCATCCCCGGAGATAGCTCGGAGCACTTTCGGGAGCAGCTGCGATCCAAGCGCAAGGTCTGCGTTGCAAAGCCACTCACGAAATGCACGGCTCGCAAAGGCAAAAGGTCCTCCGTGTGGCCTTAACAGACCGATGGGGCAAGTGCTGTTAGCGAGCACCATTTTGCACACACGCCACCACAATTCCGTGTCAAATGATGGTTGGGCAAATTGACCTCTTTATCGCCTTGAATATGCTTGACTGATCGCCGTCGGATCGATTCACTCCTACAAAGGTGGCCTTTGATCAACAGATAATTAACGATGATGGTGACTGGCGATGACAATGATGATGGATTTCTTTAATGGATATTGGCAGTGAACGACACACATACAGTAAGAGCAACCATAATGATGTTTTGATGTTTATGACGCAATCGTGAATTGTTTCCATGGAATCCAGACCATATCTGCTCTCAATGTTTTACAGTAGATTAGCCAGGACCACCCTACTCATTGCTCTGCGCTTCATTGAGCATGAAGGGCTACGGAGCAGCCGCTCATTTACTCAACGTCTCGTTTTCCCTGCCCCAATTCCTACGTCGTGCAGCATCAATCTAGCGGCGGAAAATAATGACCATTGAGGTGGCACAGACAGGTCCATTTTTCACCCGCATGGGGGAGGAGAGGTGATGGCGGAAAGAAAAAAAATCACCCAATGACCGAGCACGTTGCGCTGATTTTGCTGACCCCCAGGTGGTGAAGATGATGATCGTGGTGGTGGTGACGTTCGCCGTGTGCTGGATGCCCTACCACGTCTACTTCCTGCTGGGCCGCACGCTCAATCGAATCTATCACAGGAAGTACATCCAGCAGGTGTACCTGGCCATCTTCTGGCTGGCCATGAGCTCCACGATGTACAACCCCATCATCTACTGTTGCCTCAACAGCAGGTGAGGAGTGATCCCCGGTCACTGCGTGTTGGGGGTGCAAGCGGAAAATCGGTAAAAAAAAACTGCCGATTAAAATGAGTTGAGGCCGATTTACCTTTTTTATGTTGAGTAAGGTTTTGCTGTAAATGCACTAAAATGTATTGGGGAATATGCACAGAACAAGCATTCGCTGGCCAAAAATAAGGACAGCCCTCACTACGGAATATATTTCAAGTGCATATGCATTCTAAAGTGGTATATAAACAGATTTCAGATTCGTTGATGTCTTTTCAGGTGACCTGCATAATAGGGGTGAAATAATATATCAATTCAAATGTGCCTAACACGATATATGCATCAAATCATGTATAATTGTCATGGGTTCATGTGACCTCTGCAGCCACTAGAGGCGCTATACCATTCACAACACTAAAAAGAGAATCAATTCTTGAACGTCAATGCTGAGCCTGAATTATGAAAATGTATCAAATTTCCCAGAGGAAAAACTTGATCCACCCCCAATCTGTGGCATTCTAATTTACTCTAACCCCAGGTCAGGGTGAGAGAGGGTCAGGTTAGCGAGAGTGGTCAATGCCATACGCTCACTTCACTTGTGAATATTCCGCCCTCCTATTCATGAATGATTCAATGAACGCACGAGCGGCAAACGCTCGCTCACGCTGAGAGCCTTGTCCCCCCCCACCCCCCCCGCCCGTGCGCTTCTGTGGCCAGGTTTCGCACAGGCTTCAAACGCGCCTTCCGCTGGTGCCCGCTCGTGCGTGTGTCCAGCGACGAGGCCCTCGAGCTTTACTCCACCAAGTCGCGACGCACGCGGCACAGCGTCATGATGTACTCGCTGACGCGCATCGACACGAGCGTGCTCACCTCGCTCGACTCCCAGCAGTTGCAGCAGCAGCAGCAGCAACAGCAGCAACAGCAGCCGAAGCAGCAGCAGCAGCAGGAGCAGCAGCAGCAGCAGCAGACGCACGAGGCTCAGCGCGAAGAGCGGCCGTCGGGGACACGCCCGACCCTCCCAGGACCTGGGACTAACGGCCACCCCAACTTGTTCGCGTGATCGATCAGGCCGATCTTCGTTCCGTCGGTTCGTGGTGGCGCTCGTAGTTTGACATCAGCGGAATCACCAACGGCCGACCAGGCAGACGTACTTACATAGAGACAGACGTACTTACATACAGACAGACAGAACGCACGCACGCGTACCCACACGCACAACAACAAAAAAAGACCAGTGCCAAGCCTGTTCTCACTTGATTGGCGTGAACAAACCCAGCTACAAGTGTGGCTAAAATAAAGTGTTCCCGACACAGGGCCGGTTAGAAAGTTGACAAGGCAGAGGATGATCACTCGCGGCGATGAATGAGGGTGGCAATGCGTATTGAACGAGCACTGGCAGGAGTTGTGCGGTGTTCTAATGTCGTCGCCACGTGGTCCCGGTTTGGCTTAACCACTGAATGTGGAACGGAGCAGCGTTGGGAAAGCCTTCTGGCCCTGTGACCCCATTAATCATCGATGCTAACGCTGTAAAGTAGCACAGCAAAACGACGACGGAGTGAAGGCTCGTTGCTCCGATGTGTGTGTAATTTTTTGTCAGGTTTTGGGCAATTGCATTCAACGTTACAGACACATTGTGGCCATCGCCGCAATATCATGCGTTACACATAACGTCTCGTGTAACATAAGACACAATATGTTGAGTGTTGCCGCTGTACGAGGATGAATATAGTTCCATTTGACAGCTTTTAGATTCTTTTGTTTTTACAGAGCGTATAAAATTATAGATGGTTCGATGATAACGTTGCTTTTAGATACGAGTGTGGTGTAATCTTGGGTAATACAAAGACATGTTACGTGCCAAAAGCTTACAAGAATTGTGCATCTGTGAAATTATTACAAGTAAAATGGCTGTTCTTTAACAAACGTTGCAGTTGTTGCTCAAGTCTGCTTTCCCTGAATGACTTAATCACAAACGTGTTCTTTCTAACCAAGGTTAAAGCCCATTTTGACCAAGTCCCTCCGACCAAATGTACCAAATACCATCTGCACCATCACAGGACGCCCATTTAAATAGAGCCTCGCAGCTCATTGAGCCCTTTCTGCTAAAAATAGAAATACAAACTCTATGAATGACTTGGGATGTACCTAATCTCATGAAACCTAGGAAGACAAGCAGGCCTGAGCCTGAATAGTGCTAGGATATGCGACCGCCGCGCATAACAGTTGTCATAGGGTGCTGCTGCTGCAGGGCAACGTTGTTGGCAGAGGGACGTGCAACAAATTCCATCGTTGCACGTATGTATGTTGAACTTCTTAAGCACCGTACATACAGTGAAGGAAAAAGTATTTGATCCCCTGCTGATTTTGTACGTTTGCCCACTGACAAAGAAATGATCAGTCCATAATTTTAATGGTAGGTTTATTTGAACAGTGAGAGACAGAATAACAACAAAAAAATCCAGAAAAACGCATGTCAAAAATGTTATGAATTGATTTGCATTTTAATGAGGGAAATAAGTATTTGACCCCCTCTCAATCCAAACTCTCCACCATGGCCAAGACCAAAGAGCTCTCCAAGGATGTCAGGGACAAGATTGTAGACCTACACAAGGCCGGAATGGGCTACAAGACCATTGCCAAGCAGCTTGGTGAGAAGGTGACAACAGTTGGTGCGATTATTCGCAAATGGAAGAAACACAAAAGAACGGTCAATCTCCCTCGGCCTGGGGCTTCATGCAAGATCTCACCTCGTGGAGTTGCAATGATCATGAGAACGGTGAGGAATCAGCCCAGAACTACGCAGGAGGATCTTGTCAATGATCTCAAGGCATCAGGGATCATAGTCACCAAGAAAACAATTTGTAACACACTACGTCGTGAAGGACTGAAATCCTGCAGCGCCCGCAAGGTCCCCCTGCTCAAGAAAGCACATATACATGCCCGTCTGAAGTTTGCCAATGAACATCTGAATGATTCAGAGGACAACTGGGTGAAAGTGTTGTGGTCAGATGAGACCAAAATGGAGCTCTTTGGCATCAACTCAACTCGCCATGTTTGGAGGAGGAGGAATGCTGCCTATGACCCCAAGAACACCATCCCCACCGTCAAACATGGAGGTGAAAACATTATGCTTTGGGGGTGTTTTTCTGCTAAGGGGACAGGACAACTTCACCGCATCAAAGGGACAATGGACGGGGCCATGTACCGTCAAATCTTGGGTGAGAACCTCCTTCCCTCAGCCAGGGCATTGAAAATGGGTCGTGTATGGGTATTCCAGCATGACAATGACCCAAAACACACGGCCAAGGCAACAAAGGAGTGGCTCAAGAAGAAGCACATTAAGGTCCTGGAGTGGCCTAGCCAGTCTCCAGACCTTAATCCCATAGAAAATTTGTGGAGGGAGCTGAAGGTTCGAGTTGCCAAACGTCAGCCTCTAAACCTTAATGACTTGGAGAAGATCTGCAAAGAGGAGTGGGACAAAATCCCTCCTGAGATGTGTGCAAACCTGGTGGCCAACTACAAGAAACGTCTGACCTCTGTGATTGCCAACAAGGGTGTTGCCACCAAGTACTAAGCCATGTTTTGCAGAGGGGTCAAATACTTATTTCCCTCATTAAAATGCAAATAAATTTATAACATTTTTGACATGCGTTTTTCTGGATTTTGCTGTTGTTATTCTGTCTCTCTGTTCAAATGAACCTACCATTAAAATTATAGACTGATAATTTCTTTGTCGGTGGGCAAACGTACAAAATCAGCAGGGGATCAAATATTTTTTTCCCTCACTGTAGCCAACCGTGCTAATCGGGGGTGTGGGGGAAGGACGCTTCAACGTCTATGCCCCTCCTCGCTATTGCCAACCCGCACTGGCCAGCGTTGTGACGTGCAGTCAAACAATTCCCACAACACGGCCTGGGGAGACCCTCATCCTTCAGTAGATTGACAAAGAGGTGCCACGTGTACCAGAACCAATGGGAGTAGAGCGGTGGGGTATTGGGGGGCGGGGGGGGGGGGCGAGGCTGCTAATGCCGTGGGTGGGGGTTGACGTGCTTTGTGTCGTTGCCGTGATTGGATGGGCTGACTGACGGTGGACTGGACTGATCTTTTCATTCCGTCCTGTTGTTGAACTCGTCAAACTCAAATGGCTTCACTCCTGGATCTTGGGGGTGGCTGATCCTGGACCTTCAACTAAAAACTAAACTAAGCTATTTTTATTTTACTAGGTAAGGCCTACTGAGCTATACAGTTTTTTTTTCAGAAGCGACCTGGCCACAAATGATAGCTCAACGTAATAGCTTATCGTTTGGAATTTTATAGTAGCCAAATACTCTAAACGCATGTTTCTAAATGTGGAGGGAAAACCGGCGCACCCGGATAAAAACTCGACGCCACCACGGGGAGAGAAACACGCAAACTCCAAACATGCAGCGGGCGTCGGGATCCAACCCACGACCTCCTGTACAGGGGCGGAGCCAGGATTTTGACTTTGGGGGGGCTGACTTCAGTATTCTGAGATATCCAGTTTATGTTTTCCAATGGACGCCACAAATGTATAAAACATTTTATTGGATTTGAACGTGGAGTTTATTAATAGTTCGATAAGTTCGAAAGGCTGCCGCTCAAGCAGCCTGCAGGGCAGCACAAGGTGGCAGCCTGCAGCATTTTGCAGCTGCCGCATATCCGGTTATCCCGATTACCGACTTTCCCAAAATTTCAAGGGGGGCTAAGCCCCCCCCCAAGCCCCCCCTGTGGCTCCGCCCCTGCTCCTGCATACCAGGCGAGGTAGTTAACATCTCGCCACATTGGGTCTGCGCGTGCGGGCTTCTGGTGCAGAGGCGTGGCTCGGCAGTTTGGCGCCCGGGGCAAAGTTCCAACCTCGCCGCCCCAACCCCACCACCCACTCCCTGCCTGCTCCTGCGGCATCGGCACCCACACCATCAATATCTTGACGCACTGACTCCCCCCACCACCCACACTCTGCTCGCTTCCTTAACAAAGAATTCGACAAGTAGTTTCGTTGTCCTCCTACCCCCCCCCCCCCAAAGTTCGCCGCTTTTTGTCCCTTTCCGTTACCGCCTTGAACATCCTTGACTGATGGCCGGATCAATTCACGGGTCCAAGTTGGCCTTTATTCAACAGATTATGCATGATGATGGTGACTGGTGATGATGGATGTTTAATGACTATTGGCAGCGAACGACACTCAACTGAGAGCAAACATGATGATTTTTTTATGATGCTCATCACATCAATCGTGAATTGTTTACATGGAATCCAAGCCATATCTACTTTAAATTAGCCAGAACCTTTCTGCTCCAAGTGTTCTGTAATTTATCAACCGTCACATTTGAATGTGACAGCATCTCAACGCACCGTACAACACAGTTAAATGTGGCAGGGCTTAAGCCCCAAATTAATGCAAATCCTTAAATCCATTCCGTGCTGCACTATGAACCCGGCAAGCTGAGTTTGAGTGCTGGGCGCGGCTAACATCGCCAATGAGTGGTATCTGAACCAATCTTTACACCGGAACTCCTTCCCACTGACCAGCATGGTGAAGTATGGTTAAACATCCTTCATGATCGACACACGTGACGTAAGCCATTCAGCTCGCAATGGCATGGCAAAGGGTCGTATATTATAATTAATTACTAAAACCAGGGTTAAAACAAGAAAATCAGAAGCAAAATCCTAACTGCAACACAGAGCTTGCTAGCCATGACGACCTGGGCTTATAACGCAGTGCACTCAAGGCCGCCCGAAAGGTGGGGTTGGCAAAATCAACAATTTGCCATGGTCCTCACACAGAACAGGACTCCACAACGGGCCTTTGAACCTCTGCGTGGCAAGAAGACCCTAACCACTGCACGACAGCTCCCCTCAAGATAGTTCAAGACAGTCCCAAGTACAAATAAACTCTTGACATCCTGCAAAACTCTCCTGTATTAAAGACCTCAATGTGCCTGTGAAGCCAATGGTGAAAGAAAGTAAGGGCCCGTTCTGCACAACTTCAACAGGGTTTAGAGGGTCTCGTAAACGCTTCATAATTAAGACAGAATTAAGCTGGGGCACATGGGGCGTTAAGCAGTGTGTCCCAAAAGCTGCTCAAAAATCACAAAACGCCGTTCAGACTTAAATAGCCTTGCGCTCCACGGGTGAACCATTGGGCCAATGCCTAATTCGTATGAACCTACGTTGTCAATAGATAGCAACAAAAATTTACCGAGTGTGTTTACATTTTTCACAGCCAAGCATCTGTAATGCAACAAAGAGATGGTGCCATGGTGTAATGGTTAGCACACTGGACGTGCAATCAATGGGTGCACCATGGTTCAACAGCAGGTCACGTGATGGGTTAACGTGTGGATATTCGTACCTTTTTCAACGTGGAAAATTGGCCAAAAATACTCTCCAGAGGGTCTCTCCCGAGCTCTCTCGAGTGGCCTCTTCTGTAGTGGCTTGAAGAGATAATTGCAGGGCTGCGTCTTTACCTTTCTCAATGTAACCCATGATGCATACTGTAGTTTATACCAGTACAAAATAATAATAAACTCACATAATTAAAACATAATTATATTGAAAAGGTTAATCATGTGAGCAATGGCCCATTTTGAGATGCGCAATGTACCATTACATCGCCATTCCTTCCTGACAGAATCATCTCCTGGTTCCATAAATTAAACTGGTTGCATAAATTATTTTCTATATCTGGTCCATGGGCCAAATTCAACTCACAAGCTCATTTAATCAAGACTCGCTGACTCAAATCTACTAATGAAAACAGCCCTCTAAAGTTTTTCTGTTTAGTTAATAAATTAACTGGCAGAATGTAAGATTTCTAGTCGTGGCACATGGGGGTTGAAGTCTGTAGAGTGACCGTAATGAATATTCAGCACAGCCACCTGAGCTCCGCAATATCTGATTTTACCTCTATATCCTTCATCCCACTCTTACGAATGCATCTCGCGCATATCGCTTTTCTAACCTGATATTTCTGATGGGCACAATTAAAAATTATACCACGCAAAAATGCAGCTGCATCTTAAGCCACGGTTCAAATAGTAGGACACGCATGTCAAGGGATAACACCAAACAGCGAGAGATATCGAGTGACAAAATAAATGAGGGGTCAATCGGAGGCAGGATTCAAAAGACTTGAGCCTGGACTTGAGCAGGGGTAGAGAATAAGAATCGCAGATTGATAAGGGGGCATTCGAGACGATGTGGACAATGATCGAGAGGCAGCCAAGGAGTAAAAATTACTATTCAGTGCATGTAGAAATTAGTTCACACCGTACATAGCCAACCGCGCTAATCGGAGGTGCGGGGAAGGATAACAAAACTAAAGACCCAAGGCAGTTCTCAAGACATAGATAACCCCTACCTATAATCCACATACGTATGCATTACTGCAGGTGGCATGGCTGCTATTTTCCAATATTGGGATGCAAACGTTATCAGCCTCAGGGTATATTCTAGGCTTAAGTCCCCTGACCAGTTTGATCCAGCATGTTCCTTTTCATTCAGCACGTGGACCCTCTGTTCTTCAAGTTATCCAACGGTACATTCTTTTTTAACCTCTTGACCCTTTCCCCATCCTTCCGAGCTTCCATCAGCAAGCCTTCTCCTCTGACAATATACCCCATTTATATCTCGTCATGAAAAATAGTGGCAAGTGCACCCTCATATACCCAAGATAGAAAATGCGTTTATTGACTTAGATTTGGCCATACCTGTTGGGATACAAATGGAGTCCCATTTCAGTCATTCCTTTTTGCAGCCACCGTCATACACACTAGGCATGCACTCAGATCATTCATTTACGTTCTGCCCATAGACCGGTCAGAGACACAATTATCTCCTCCATGTGCCTGTCTTGTGCTGCTCACATCTGTCCACGAGCCCTTCCTGTCTTTTTCATCGCCGCTCGTTTTCTTCCTCACGGTCTTTTCCCAAATAATCCTCCATCGATCAGCTCCTTCAGCTCATTCCCTCACACGACATGCCCAATTCAGATGTTCCTCTTTTCATCGATTCAAAATCTTACACTATGGATCATTCATTGAATCGTGCGTGCAAATACGATTTAAGAAAATACACCAACAATTATCTTTACTACTCTTCAATGTAGATGCCCATAAATAAATCCACAGATCTTCATATTATCCGCATTAATAGCGAATATCAGGATTTGTAACTATAACTGGTGGCAATGTCACATCGTCAAGATTATCAACATTAACTGAGTAAATCAGTGGCCCATACTTTGTGCACTGCACTCTGAACCAGTAAAGCCAAGTTCATTCTAACAGCTAACATCGCTCAGCTCCTATAAGCACGGTAGGCTACGTACGGTGCAAAAGAAGTTCAACGAACAATACAATCGGTGATGAGTGATATCTGTACACAAGCCCTTCCCCCAACCTTTCGCCAAACTTGCGCTCACCAGAAAAAAGTTAGGTAAAATAACCCATCCGTTACCGACACAGCGTGGGGAAGGAGTTTATCCAGCGGTCGCTCAGTAAAACTGCTGGAAATTATGACTACACTATACACACAAACACAATAAATATCACGAGCGACAATCTATCCGCTGCTGGCTAAAGGCTTCAAGCTATCAGTAAGTAGCCCTCAATGGAGCTGAATTTAGCAGTTTCCCCCTGAGAAGCAAAAATAAAAAAACAGAACATGTTTTGAAAACCCCATTGCGATGCATTTTTTTTATTATTAATAATCAACACAGAGCATTGCAATTCAATCGAAAATACCCTTATACATTTACATATCTACCAGAAAGCGTTTTTGAGGTCATGGATTAAATTTCGATTTAAAGTTTATTTTTGCTCTGCAGCAATTACAAGTTAAGGCTATGTGACTTGTAATTTCAAATCAATTTAGTGCATTCCCACAAAAAAAATGAATGGCATTTGAAACATGAAATGCTTGCTTTCGTTTTGCCACAGGTTATTTTTGCACAGCCTGTTCCAGAAAACGGGATGATAAAATATAATTGTATTCTGTTAATTTCACATATTCGGAATTGCACATATCAGTGATGATTTTGTTTCCGCCAAGAATATTTTTTTTCCAAAAATAGCTGGTTTCTGTCTAAAAGGCAATCATGTTACTGAAGGCAGGATTAAGTCCTATACGTATATATGTGCACTTGGAAATGCAACAATAAATGAATTCTGTATACGTATAAAGAATTATCTTTAATATTCCTCTTTCACCATCCTGTCCACACCTTGTACGCAACACATACAGTATATTTAATTGGCAGATAAAATAATCAGTGGCAGCACCTTTTAAACACCAAATATCTGACATTTAACCCAAAAAATGTTTATTACACCAAAATAAACCCAGATGAATAACCAAACTCTTCCCAGGGTGGACCACTCGTGCCCAGCTGCAGTGGATCTTGGGACGTCTCATTCAGAGCTCTTCTTGTTGTTGATGATGAGCGGTCCGACGTTGTCTCCCGTCGTCTCATTGTGCTTGGCGTGCGCGCCGTCACAGTACGGGAACTGGGATGTCGGTAGGCAAGCACAAGCGCGCGCACACACGCACACATCACTTCTATCCATTACAGTGAGCATCAATGAGCTTACGTTGCAATATAACTTCACGCTTTATCTTCATCGAATTACTTAATTGTGGAAAAAAAAAAACAGAGAGCGATGTCGCCGCACCACTGGCAAACTCATGCTCATTTGCAGGTTAGAACCCGATACAAATTTGGAACGTCAAAAGTTGCCTCTCGGGGTCCCCCCCTTGGCTCTACTGCAGCAGCGCAGTGTAATGGTTTTGAGATGAATTGTGGTGTAAAGTGGCGTGTGTTTCTCTGAGGCACGAAAATGCTGCCTGAATGCTAAATCCATCTTCCTTGTCAATGAACCCCTAGATGAAGGCCTCCAAACACCACGTGGGTCATGGAAGTTGTCTCAACGTGCTTCCCCATATGAGTCAGTACAAGTTGGTGGAGGGAGGGGCCCCACAACAGATTCAGTTATCACTTGCCGCTGATGCTCGCTCTGGCTGTTAAATGAACTTTGGTCACTGGTTTCATAATCTAAGTGGTTACCACTTAGCTGAGTTGAAACAGCATCTGTCTCCATTATAAGTAACTTAATTTGTCTATCTGTTATTCAGTATTTCAGTTACTGAACTTATAAGAGTATTTTTTTCTTGCAGAGCAAGGGCTTAACATGACCATAAAGAACCAATGAGCTATTGTATAAACTACAAACTACGTAAATCTATGATCTTTTATCGAGAGCAAAACAATCTGATAGTGAACATGCACCATGGCAAATCTAACGGCATTTTTAAATTTTCAAGTTCCTAGATGTTTTGTGTTGAGAGTTTGACATTTTTTGTAAAATGGCAAAAAAATGAGTACCTTCACAATTGATGGTCTAAGCATATCGAGGCTTCAAGTCACTCATGCAATGTTGCTTTATTAAGAATTTTAGTTTCAACAAAGATTAACCGTCTATAAAACGGTTTATTACTGGTTTGTATTTGCTATAAGAATAGCCAATTTCCATCTCGCCAACACCACAACTCCCACGTTTTTAAAATGTACACTTAAATACTTCAATATGCTCCATCATGTCTGAGACACTGAGGGACGCATATGTAATATTTAAAAAAAACTCGGCAAAGCAAAAACAGAAGCCATGGTTTTGCAATATACAACAGCAGAGTTTGGCATCTCTCCCACTTAGTCAAGGCCAAATCTGACAAATGCTACCGACAGGACCTATCACGTGTTTCAAATTTTCCTGTTACAAGCAGAATAATTAGGCCGACACCACTATTTTCGGAAAATTCCATTATATACCTGGAAACGAAAAATCATGATAAGGTGCATCTATAGTGTGAGTCACCCATGCAAAATATACACAGAAAGTATTTGTACAGGTTGTTTGAGACAAAGCCAATAGTGTCCAAGGGCTTTAACGCTTGAATGTTCAGACAGGCATTACAATGGTTATTGGGGCAACAGAAGTCAAAATCAACCGCAGGCGTATGTGTTGGCAGACGTCGGATATTCTTTAGTTGGCTGTGAACTCTGTGGTTTTATCCACACACTTCATAAATCAATGTTATGATGTATTACTGTATTCCATAGGGAAGGTGGGAAAGCAGTAGCAGGGTGGTCAGCGCACTGTGCTATGAACTGGAAAACCTGATTTTGCTTTCCGGCCATGGCTAAACTCAGTGATGAGTCAGATCTGAACTGATATTGACCCACTTCACCAGTTCCCGCAATTTACCAGAGTGAAGTATGGTAAAAAAAGAAACCTCAACGATCGACACGTCACAGGGAGGTCTTCACCTGGCAATGTATTGACAAAGAGATGCCAATTAGTATTAATGTATAAAGCAGGTCGGGGTAAAGCTATGAAACATGTGCTTTGCTCATGCTACGACTTGCACAAGAGCCTCCGCCACTACAGGGAGAACTAGGGAGTTCTCACATTTTATCCTGTTAGATCGGTGGAGGGGAGATTTAAAAAAAAAAGACGTGTTTGCTGTTTCAACGACGGCATCAGGAGATCAAATATAACCCGCCACGCTCGGAGTTAAAATCCAGCGTGCTAACCATGATACCACGGCATGCCCTCTTGTGACCCCTACGTGTCCTCTGTTAACAGTTACTCATTCCTCGGCCCTTGCACGCCCCTGCCATCTCCAAGTAACTCAAATTTTGTTCCCGCTTTTGACACTATGTAAAGCGCCTTGAACTAAGGCGCTCTGTAAATAAAAGATAAGATATAGGCCACAAACACTACAGGCCACAGACAATGATTATACACTTATACACGAACGAGGTGTAAAAGTATGTGGCCCGCGCAGAAAACAATAACTGTGGGAACACACACCCGTGTCATGTACGCATGTCGAGTGTGGAATACATGTCGAGCAATTTGCCTTTTTGGAGCGCCAGCAGCGGCAGAAGGCAGCCTTCTCGCCGAGGTCTTCCACATCAATGGCGTGAACCACCTTGGGGTTGTCCTTGTCCAGTCCCGGGTTCGCCTGGCACTCCTTGCCAGAGCAGCAGCCACCTGACTTTGCGTGGCAACACTTGTAGCCCTTATAGCCCAGGTAGCCGATGAGCGCCACGCCACCCGTCACTCCAAGAACCTTGGCCCAGTTCCAATCTGAAATCGTTTTGATTTGCAAAGGACGTACGAGTGAGACCAGTTGTGGATTCCCGCCCCCACTCCCCCCAAATCATTATTAGCGATTGGGATTGTCCACGATGGCGCGTGAGCTGAACACATTTCCTCGTGTGCAGTGCCAAAAACACTACACATTGACAAGATGAATCACGATATAAGCGACTAAAGAGCAGTGATATATCAGTTCATGTGCAGGAGATGGTGTGACACAGCGGGATCAATTGACGCAAACAGCGTGGAAAGAACGTCATCCAAATGTGATGTAGATAACTAATGCCCGATAATGATGCGCTGGATGACAAAATTAAGATAATTCTAGGGTATGGCAATGTGTTCTGGAGCTAAATGCAAGTGTCGAGGTCCGCTAGCCACGAGATTGCTTCAGGAGAGTTTGTGTAGTTGTGCTATTACTCCTCCGTAGAAGGAGCGCAGACTATAGTGGTTTATTACTCCATGGTACACATGCGTTACATGGTTAGAATCGCACAATAGCTAGTTGTTAATGTCCTATTCATTAAGGAGATGTGCCTGTAGATGTTCTGATGCGGTTGATGGTTCCACCACCGGTGTCTTCGAGAAATGTCAAAGCCAGGATGACAGGCATTTGGGTATCGAATTAGGTGGTTTATTATGGGCGTCACAATTTTCCACTCTCTTCGCCAGCACACTTGCGGGTCTGGGTGAGTCTAGGATAGTGACAACGCAAACCCAGAATGGTTTCATAATTATGCCGATGAACGAATCTAATCAACAATGACTGCGGCAAAGGATGGTAATTATGGTGGTTGATGATAATGATTGATACATTTGATTTTTAAATCATTATCGTGTGTTTATTACAAGCAGGCTGTGCAGGCATCGACAATCAACTATTCGTCCCAAGCAACGTACGCTAACTGCGATCAATCGGGCGCGAACCGATGTCCATCCATGAGCGCGCACACAAAATCCGGCAACGCTTCCAGACAAGACCGTGGTCGCAATCCAGGCCTAGAGCGAGGCGCGGTCAACGGGACCGCGCACAAGCTGTTTTTTTACTTTGACTAAAATAACTTCCAGTTAAAAACACCCGCGCACACACACACATGGGCAAGCGATAAAGCTTCGCTGACACCTGGGGGGGGGGGGGGGGGGGTGTAGGCGCGCACGTAAAGAAAGCAGGTAAAGGATGAGGCGAGCGATACCTTTCAACACATCCATGTCGGCGCACGGGTCGAACACGTGTGTACTTGGGTCAAGGGCGAGAGGCGGTTCCGGGCCACGTGACCAGGCGGTTTACTCGGTTGCCGTGGCGACGCGATTACCGTGGCGACGCGGTTGCCGTAGCGACGCGGTTGTCATAGAGATCCGGTTACCAGAGCAACCGCGCGACTTTATTCGCTGTCGTTCAGCGTGATCCAGAATCAGAATGATCAGAATTCGCATTTGTACTGAAGGAATCCGATGAGCTGTAACCTACAAACAATACAAAAAAACACGATAGGAGTGCGAAGCATAGCAAAAAATAAACAAATAACTTCAACAAAAAATGAAAATACAACTAAAAATAAACTTTTTTTAAAATTTTACACAGATAAGGCCCACTGCGCTGTGTAGATTCTTTTTTTTAGAAGCGACCAAATGATGGCTCAACAAAGTGGCGTCATCACGTGGACATTTATTGCAGCCAAATAATCTAAACGCGTGATGTTGATTCTAAATGTGGAGGGGAAAAAAACGTGAGGACCCGGAGAATATCAACGCGACCACGGGCAGAGAGAGACACGAAAACTCCAAATATACAGCGGGGTTGGGATCGAACCCACGAACGTCCTGCATACCAGGCGAGGTAGTTAACATCTCGACTCAGTGAAGAAAAACATAATTGGTGATGCTGCTGCTGCTCCTGCGTTGGCAGAGGTGCACAAGCACAAATAATAATAACAACAACAACCTAGATACGTATTCTTTGCTCTTTCGGTAAAGTCACGTTGAAGGGAAACAATAAAATAATAAAATATATATAAAACAATAAAAATTCTCACGACGTTTCGACCATAACGCAAACGGTCGTCATCAGGTTTGTGTTATGGTCGAAACGTCGTGAGAATTTTTATTTATATATATATTTTATTATTTTATTGTTTCCCTTCAACGTGACTTTATCGAAAGAGCTAAGAATATGAATTACTGCAGTCACGAAAGCTTTAAATCAAAATTTTACCTAGATACGTTCATCATTAGTACTGTGTTCTTAAAAGTAAAAAAAAAAATAGATACATAACAGGCGACGTTTCGGACAATGATCATTCTTTATAGCTCATGAATGGCCATTTGTATGTACTATGTTTAACTTCTTTCGCGCCATACATAGCCATCCGTGCCAAAGCGGAGCTATGAAGGACCATCGCTCGAAACGTCGCACTATTATAATTTGTCAAAAATATATATATATACTTTTCCTTTTAAGGCCACGGCGTAATTGACGAGCGTGTTGCGTTTTTATTTATTGTACATTTCACCTCAAGGTATTGTAATGCACACACGGTCACTGTGTGATTGCACTTTGACCACACCGAATGGGTCTCAACATTTTTAAACTCTCCTGTGTCGCGACCGTGTAACCCCAGAGGAGACCTTCGGCACAGAGAACGACTCAAGGCCCGACTCGCACATAAGGCAGGCAGGAGGCACCATCACAGCGATGCGAAAACTCCCGATGCAAATCGTTTATAGTTCATAGTTTCATTTATTTTGGTATAGCCCTGTGAGCCATTCGGCTCTTGAATCGGGTGCAACCGCAACAAACAAAAACACGAACAAGAAAAACATCTTAAAGTGACTGTGCGTGACTGTGCAAACGGAAAAATCCAGGAAAAAAAAACATCAAAATATTCCTGAAATAGCACCGTACACCAACGCTGTGTGCAAAAATACCAGTGGGATGCAAGTCAAATAACAACAACAACCACAAGACAACTAATATTAAGGCCATCAGTCTAACTCCGTACTACAATAAACAAAAACATGGCCAAAACAAAAAAAACGTTTTCAAAATCACCAAAATAAAAGCCATAAATGCAATGTAACAGTGATCATAGGGACTGTGACCGAATTTTTAACAATAAACTACGTAAATAAATTATAACACCAAAATCTAGAGCCATATTTTAGGCCACTGAATAGCAGTGGCAGCCAGGGGTGTACAACTCCTACAACAAATCGGCTTGCTCAACCAAATAAAAGACAAAGGTCATCCCGTATAGCCTCAACAGGATGTTGGGGCAAGTGCTGTTAGCGAGTACAGTTCCTATGAAGGCCGAACCGGAGGACCCGGAAACAAAAACAACTTGCTCGACCACATTAACACATTCCTGCGAAGGGAGGGAGCTGGTAGGAACGTTGGGTTGCTCGGTCGATGGCCAGGGTCAACGAAGGCGTGGTGCATTCCACAAATATGGCCCCAGATTGTTGTCACCTAATCCTAACCCAAACAACGGCTCTGACAACCAGTACGTGTGTTTATTATTGCAAACGGGGAATTCCCTATCTGTTAAAAAAAAACAATTATTTAAAGCTTTCGTGACTGCAGCGATTCATATTCTTGGTTCTTTCGGCTTAGCAATCATTGGAAGGATTTGATAAACCATTTCGGGTCTTAATTGATTGTTCACGCTTACGGTGGCTTTCAGACCGCATCCATTATTTTTCGTCTCCCCCCTCCTCTTTTCCGAACATAGATGGACTCGTCCATTTGAATGACTGTCAAATCTCTCTCCGTGGTGCCAACGTTAAAAAAAAACCCGCCACTTTTTTTAAAAATTTCTTGTGTGGTTTTCACACCTGATGATGATTGCTTGTGTTGCGGTAGAAACATCGTGAGAATTTTCTTGTTTTATATTTTTATTATTTTATTGTTTCCCTTTTACGTGACTTTACCGAAAGAACCAAGAATAATGTTAAAATGATGTTTCTTCCTCTGACATTCACACCTGATTGGCTCACAAGTGACGACATCGCATTTATCTCCTCGATTTAAGACCGAAACAGGAGGATTTCTCCACAACTTCCCTCTATTGCCCACCACGTACCTCCACAGCCTTTACCACTCGTTACGCACGGCGGCCACACACCCAAGCACTGTCCAGGTTTCTGAGATCTGCTAATGAGATATGGCACATTCTAGGTGACTGTTTAATAGGCCAGGACAGGTAAATTAACTGCATTGTATCTCTGTTGCAGCCTCCAGCAAGGTGAGGGAAGGGTAGGGGGTGCTCGGGCCCCTCCTCCCTGACACTGTGGGGGCTGCTATCTCCAACTGTGTGCTGCTCTCATATCCATGCCATGGGCTCCGACAGCCAAGCCAAACGGTGTGGCCAGAGTAACTTGATGCACATGCAACGGGCACAGCACCCATGGCGGGTAAACAAACCGGTTTGTTTCCATTTACGGAAGTGAAACGCAAACTTGAGGTTTGATGTGTCAATGCCTTCGCGTTTGTGTACCTGACACAGTGACCCCCTAAAGTGTGAAGCACGGTGATTTCCAATTCTCTTCTTGCATATAGAAGTGATCAGAAGCTAAATGCCAATGTCAGGGTCTGCTAGCCACGAGGGCTTCAGAAGAGATTGGGTGTAGTTTTGATTTAGAAACGTGCGTTTAGAGTATTTGGCTGCTATACATTTCCACTTGATAAGCCACTTCGTTGAAATATAATGTGGCCAAAATGCGCTTCTGAAAAAGTGTGCCTTGCCTGGTAAAATAAAATTAAGTTTCGTTCTAGTTTATTCCTCAAATGAAGGAGCGCAGACTATAATGGTTTACTATATTGTCCATGGTTTAGGTTGCATGGTCACAATCTGTGGCTTGTCTTTTTGTTTTTATGAAGATGTGTGCAATGGCCTGTTGATGTTCTATAGTTGATGGTACCCCAGAGTCTTCGAGGAATGTGAAAGCCAGAAAATGCAATGTCTTGATCTCGAATGGTGTTTATTTTTGATATCCGCAGCATTCTTCCGGATCTGGATGAGACTCTAGGATGGTGACAGCACGGTCCGAGAAGGGTGGGTCAGGACTTGAGTCAACAGCGATGTTCATTGCTGAGGTCTTGGTTGATTGGTAGGTTGTTGTTGGCAAGGATACATAAACTCCCTTGCTTTTTGCATGTCTCTGCTGATATTTGGAAGCCAGGGGGTTGGTGTCGTTTTCAGCGTTACGGTTGTCATGTGCATTGCGTTATGTAATCGTATGTCTAGCAGCTTTGTGTATGAGCTCCTGTAACAGGCTTAGAGGGCAGTATTTTGCCACAGAATAGGTCAGTGATCGAGCGTCAGTTCGCAGCTCATCACCTGAAACGTATCAGGTCGTTCCTGCAAGTTTCTGCCGCAGGGCGATTCTTGATTTGGTCTTTTCATAGATCTGTTGCATGTGGGGCCTAAAGTCAGGCTTCTATCCATAACTCATAGATATCTTGGAGTGGAGTCATAGGGCACTGGGCTACCACAGGACACATCAAAGATGGCATTTGCTGCATGATTGTTCAGGTGGAAAGCACTTGTGGTGGTTTAGGAGGGATTTGGTTTGAGTCTCCAGAAAGGGAAATCTACCTCCAATAACATTAGATTGGCTGTTCTCAGGTGTGTGCCCTTTGCTAGCGGCGATGGTCACCTACGTATATGAACGTACGAAATGATGTTCATGGCGGCTCGCTTATATATGTTAGTGACGGCGTTAGTACCGAGCCTTGAAAGAGGAAATTTTTCACAATTCTCTTTTGGTTGTGTTTAGCATCGACGTGTACCTTGAGAGTATGGTAGCAGAGCATCGCATCGATTAGGTGTGGCGCCAGGATAAATGCCCACAAAGTTACACCACCTCGTCCAGGCGGTGCTCTCATGCGCAAATGATGTCGGCGATAATATTTTTCCAGTATGCCGAGCGCCGCTATTTTCACTCAGGCGCACACATTTTAGCAGCTTTAAAGGCAAACCGGAAAGTGGCCTAAGGTAGCAGAGAGGCTGTTGATGCTGAAAACCATCTTCCATGAGGGAGGTGAAGGCAACGATCTGCTCGCAGCATTGATGACCGGTTCGACATCCAGCTTGTTTGGGAGCCAGTTGGGGAGGGTTTGATAATGGAGGCAAGTCTGGCAAGCTTGCGGATGGATGATAAGAGGGATATTGGCCCTCTAGATGGACAGCGAAAACCTGTGGCTTTCCCGCTTGCAGAATAACGATGACTTTGGCTTGCTTCCATGCTTTCATGATTTTGCCTGTCCATTGCAAAATTGTGCAATTCCAATGAAGTAACATGGTCCAGCAGGAGCTGGGTACAGGAAAAGTGACAATAGGTTATGAGTACTTGGCAGATTCCTCTAAAACACTCATTCTTCTAATGCAAGTTTATATATGAATAAATTATACGGCTGATACAGTAACATGTTTATTGGGATAGTAAACAGTGGTATAATGATGCATTGATATCGATTCTTAAACTCTTACACATACATGGAAATTCATGTGTAGGAATCAATGTTTCTCAATTCATATATATACATTATTGCTTTGTGTAATAGTTTCACGTGATCCCTTTAGCCACTAAAAATAATCGATTTTGGAATAAAATCTTGGCGATCAATCTCGACAATTCATTGAACTGAATTTCAACAAGCACTTTCATCATCAGTAACAAAAACACATTTGGTTCCATCTGCCTATGGTCCTTTTGAACTCATGTTTTCCAGCAGCATGTATATAAACATCCTCATCAGCTTGAATGTCTGATGGGAAAGCAGCTTCAACGAACACTTTGAGTCCCAATCACTGCAGTCCAGCATTACTTACAACAAATATTGGGAGCTTTGCACCCATGATGCACAGATCAACCTTGAACCCAGAAATACGCTAAGGACCACTGCATTCTGTTCACCTGCTCAAATACTTATGTGATTCGTGTTTTTTCTACATTTCTCACATTTTGATTAAACTAAAAAAAATACTCAAGTGTTTTTTGCCCCCCCCCCCCCCCAGCTCAATGGAGCATGGGGCCCTCTCTACGTTCTCCATTCCAATGGCGGGGGCCGAACTTTCCGTAGGACAACTTCCCTATAGAGGGGTGAAGGGCCGAGTTTAACCCTGAAATGTGATATTAACCTAGCAACCTTCCGAAAATAAGGCACCCACTCTAGATATTCCATTCATTGGCTGCCACACCATAATTATTATTGAACCATCACCATCATCCATATTCTAGCGATGTGTCTTGCCCAAGGCCAACTCTTGTCTAAACAGTTTGAATTTATCACATCCCTGTGCTGGTGTGCAGAGGTCTTGTCCAGCAGGTGATAGGAATTGGCTGCTGATAATGGTAGTAAAAGAGCTCTGTATTTTTTTCTTAAAACAGAATAACACGAATATTTCACCAAACCCACAAGTAAAAAAAGGCTTTTGGATTCGTCGCCTGAGGAGTGTTTTTATACTGAGGCTTACGACGAAAATTGCATCTCTTCTCAATTACTCTTCATGAAACTTACCAACAATTGTAGATATTTATATAGAGTAATGTAATTAATATTTGACTTTTTTATAACATGGCCTCCATCCTTTCCGAATGGCACTTATCCCAACATGGAACTAAGAGGCAGTATTCCACCATTGTAAACAGATTAACCGTCATGACGTACAGTAGTGTAATCTTTTTTAATGTTTCCAACATAACCCATCAAATCGCCGAAAATACTCAAGTATGAGGGTGCCAGGATTTGACCGTAGAGTGGATGGGGCAGCACCATCCGCTCAACTGTATAATGACTTCTGATGTCCTTGGGTTCATGCATGGTCAGGCATTTCCATATTGGTGTTTCAAAAATAACACCATATAAGTCCGCTGCTGTTCTTTTGTGAGTCTAGAGCAGGGTTTTTTAAACGGCAGTCCTCGTAACCCACCACGCTATGTTTTGCCACGTTTACCAATATACTCCTCCCATTCAACTAATTACTCACTCCACGCGGCATGCGCTCGATGCTTGTAAAACTCGTGTCCTATGAGTACTCGAGTTTTGGACACCCTGGATGAGCAAATTATGTTAATTTCAAATTTGTTTGGCAAGCCTTGGTATATATTCTGCCCATAACTTCACCAACTAATACCACACATATCTATGGGCCCATTCTTTGCCAGTATAAAAAATGGTGTTTGAACATTTTAACACCCAAGTTTTGATTTAAAGCTTTCGTGACTGCAGGGATTCATATTCTTGGTTCTTTCGGTAAAATGACTTTACCGAAATAACCAAGAATATGAATATCTTAACACCTGTTTTATTGGCAGAAAGGGAAACCCCTATTTATATCACACAGCAGTCGAGAATGTTATTCAATTATATAATACAATTCTTTTTTTTCAAGCTACTGCAATATACCTTCACAATTACAATGCAGGTCTTGAAAATTGTGAAAATCTTATGTATGCAAAACACAGTTCCTGATAATAATAATAACAAATAATTACCTTAGTAATTCGTGTACACATCTATATAAATATCTATAAAAGCATATGCACATAAAGTGTCGTCGTGTTTTAGATCAAGAGGAAAATTTGTGTTCTTGATATTATGTTTCAGAGTGTTGTGGATAATGTGTTTAGTTGTATTCCAGACTGTCTTATTGCATCATCATGTTCTATATCGTCTGATTTTGTTCCAGATCGTGTGTGTGTGTGTTTGTCACCAGATACTGGGTCTTCTGTCGAGCGTAGTAAAATGAGTAAAGTATTACTAATGTAACTGGAATATTCGTGTTCAATAAAAACGAAGTATTTCTGAGTTTACCCACTCTGGCATGGCGACTTCAGTCACCCAAGTGTGTACTGCAAAGGCTGGTACCACAGATGGGCAGTGTAACACCAGAGTCGACACCACAAGAACGTCATCTTGCTCATCATTCATGAAGGAGATTCTCAACCTCTTCAGAGCCTGCAACGTCATTAGTATGATTAGAGTATCATCAGTCAAACATTGGGAAGTGTATCTATTTGGGCAAGTCTGCCACAACACTTTGTTTTTAAAGCTAACATTTTATAAATCTTCACTTAAAGCTTTCGTGACTGCGGGAATTCACATTCTAGCATCTTTCGGTAAAGTCACGTAGTTAGGTTCTACATGACTTTACCAAAAGACCCAAGAATACTAACATTTTATACGTTTTCATTTCTACACGAATAGCACATGTACTTCCTCGTGCTATACTGTTAAAGCTGCATAGTGAATAACTGAAATGTGTGAAAAGCTGTGAAAACGCATTAGCTTTCCTGTACATGTCTTCCTCCATTTTATTTGTGCTCATGGCTTAATTCAGTTATGCTCCATAGAGTGTGTATAATAAAGCATGCCTTGACGTATAACTTACATTAATCTCAGCCAATTTGTACAGGGAAATTATCAAAGTTCACCACTTTCTGTCATCGATATTAATGCATAGTCATTTTTCAATACAATGCTGCATGAAAGCCTCCCCACACAATGTTGGTCATGGCAGTTATTTGACCGTACTTCACCACACTGGTCAATGTGGGTTAATGAGAAGAAGGCCCGGGGGGGGGGGTGGTTTAGCTATTACTTGCCGCTAATGTTAGCTGTGGCAGAGAGTCGAACTCACGTGACCAGGTTCACAGGGCAGTATGTGAACGACTGCTTCTCCTCCCAAAACCTTGTAACATCACCATAATTAATCCTAATCAGTTCTCCTCAACTGTACAAATATATGTCAATAAGTTCTACCCCTTCTAATAGCTACAACATATTTCTTACCTATGGCTGTCATAGTAAGTCGTATCCTGTATGTATTGTACTGCCCACTAAGTTGTGCAATATCCAGCTCGCTGGGTGACTCAGGAGGCTGATACACTGCCAGTCAGCACTGCAGGGATCCTGGGTTTAAATCTGGGTTTTAGCCGCCTATGATAAAACCAGTTTATAAAGTGTAGAAACTCGGTGGTTTCAGCTCGTGTCAACAATGACTGCAGAAAAAAATATCACCAGTGGTTTCCACCAAAGTTGACTAAATTCCAGCTCTGAGGATTACGTGTTCCTTTTGGCATGCAACTAATATTGTCTATCGGTAAGGCATTTGAGAACAAGTACCACCTTGTGTGGATAAGAGGCAATGGAAGGGACTTCAAAAGTAGTTCTGTAATACTCTTTGGTTCTTTCGGTAAAGTTCACGTAGTTAGAAATAAAATAAAATAAAAAAATCACGACGTTTCGATTGCAACACAAGCAATCTTCATCAGGTGGTAAAACCACAGCAAGTGGGAGAGAGAGCTGCCGTGGCAAGAGGTTATATAGGTAAGAAGGGGGGAGGAGCAAGGGGGGAGAGAGGACGTGAGACTGGGGGGGGGGGGAATTGGCGGGGCTGGAAGTAGTTCTGTAATGCCACCTTAAAAAGTACGCTAACATGAAGTGATGTTCCACGGGCTTTCTGTCAAAGTTACAAATACAAATGCCTTCGTCATTATCAATGGCCTCACCGAAATATGTGCATCTTTAGTTTCGGAGACCACTTGTATAAGGATACCTGGTACATCATACTCGCCACCATTACCACCATAAGGCCAACTAATATCCAGTTGAAATCGGCACAAAACTCCTGCACTCGACACTGGCAGAGGGGGAGAGGAGCCAGTAACAATCAGCTTTAACAGCCGTAGTTTACATTCGACTGAGCATGAGACGACATCGTGCAGCACCTCTGCAAAATGTTTTCCAGAGTAATTGACGGAATGACAGTTATATGAACTCGACATGTTCGCTGTAAATACATTTGCTTCATTAATTCTTTGCTTAAGTAACTGACAGCATTTACACTCTAAGCGTTGTAAGATTGTGAAGTTGCAATGCTTAATACACTTGTCAAGATTATGTTGAGTGGACCGGAGTTTAATAACTTTTATGTAAACGTTCTTTATACTGGAGGTACAGAAACGCAGAACAATTATACAATAACATTTCCAAGTACAATTGCACACGTAGGAAACTGATATAGTGATAAGTCACAATGTGAAAAAATTTTTGTATTGTATAGTGAAAGATGATATGGTGTCACATCCTGTCATTAAGTCACCCAATTTCTTTGCACATCACTACGCTCTACAGCAAACTTACCCTGTCGGTCTTGGCTTCATATTCCCTTTTTGTAAATGAGTAGTACGGCTTGCGTGGGGATGAGTGGCGGTCTCCGTCGCCGTTGCTGGAGCACGTGTGGCGATTCGCGCTGCGTTGGAAGGGGCGGCTGTTTTCGGCGTTGTCGCTGTCGCTGCATCTTGAGTCGAACTTATGCCACTCAAGATCGTATCTGCCACGTTTTTCCGGATCCGTGAGCACCTCGTGAGACGCGTTGAGTTCTAGAAAACCATTGCAGGCATGGACAATGTCATTCTGACAGGGCCCTTATCTTCCATTGTGTCTGCAGCATGGAAATGGGCGTGACTTGCAAAGGGTTTAAAGGCACAAAACAGAAAATATGCAAAAAGCTGCTGTGCTGCTTGAGCAAACTATCGCACTCGTAATTAGTTCACAGTTACGTACAGAGGTTTGTCTAACAGATGTGCTCATGCTCAACTTTTGTCTTCCACACCAGTAAGGGATCGTGCTCACGTAATTGTGTAACCGAGTGGCAATGATGTATGATGCCACGTCTTGCTGATTAGACTAAATGAAGTTGAAATCGGTCCGCAGTTTCCATTCTCAAACACATACGGATGTAAACGTCAATATCGAATTCCTCTTGACTAGAGGATTAAACTCGATTTGCTTGAATCAAATTAAGTACACTCTTTTTGTTGCTTAGTTTATTCATGAAAGCACACCTGAGCATGAATCACCATGAATTATTTCCAGGTGTAAGGACAACAGTGTTTGGATAAAGGCTCAATATAATCAGTGGCTGCATGGTGTGGGTGGCTGATACCAAGTAAGAGACAGAGCAAGTGGGTAGTGCTAGAGATGCTGGGTTTGAATCATAGCAGATGCCTATGATTACATCAATTTCTTAAGTGTAGGAAGTTGACAGTCGCAGCCAGACCACGAATGATGGCTTAAAAATAACCGTATTATTACATTTGGATTTCCATTTGGAATATGTCAGTTCAGGGTTATATACACTTTGTGTCATTGCCATAATGTGAACCCTCTTTGCAGGCCATAAAGAGAAGTGTGCCCCTAACATGGATACAAAGGCTTTTGAAGTGGCACCAACATTATTTCCGTGGTATCATGTTCCAAGGGCAAATCTGCGACGCTAGGTGTTGCACAGTTGTATGCATATGTTGAAATTATTTCACACCGTGCGTCGCAAACCGTGCAAATCGGAGGTGCAGGGTAAGGACAGTTGGCTGAGAGTTCTGTATTGTAATGTCTAGAGTTCTGTGACAATTTGCCAAGAGCACACGTGAAACGTACAGTTGAGGAGTAATAAACAAATAAGATAATCAATGCGTTGTGATAAATGGATTTAGATTTTTGTGAAAGACAAAGCGAAGCTTGTTTACTTTTGACAAATAATGTTAATCAATGCGTTGTGATAAATGGATTTAGATTTTTGTGAAAGACAAAGCGAAGCTTGTTTACTTTTGAAAGCATCCGCAGCTCCTGGCATATGGTTCTTGTCTGGATGAACTTTCAAAGACTGCAACTTGAATGCCCGTCTGATCTCCTCTGTCGACGCTGCAGACTGGACCTCCAACACTTCATAGTAATTACACGCATTGCATATCCTGTCCATTAGCAGACAACACCGCACAGCAATTTTCAAGTTCAAGCTAAAAGTGCAATTGTTTAGCCACATTAGAACTCAAGGGACTCGGAGAGTTCCATTTCCCAGGGTGACCTGGATCACTAAAATAAAATACTATATTGAAGGAAATATAAATTGGAGATTAAATAACCATACGTGTGTGGAGAGAACACATTTATAATGAACTGACAAGGATTTGGTCTTGATATATAATTAACGTACAGCGTTATGGGATGCAACCAGCTTGAATGACGCTATATAAAATAAAATTATTTTTACAAGTCCGCCTCTCGTTGTAAAATGTGTCTATCTGCATATGGGCCTTCCAGATCCCAACGTTATAAAATAATGTTTTCATCATATAACTCTGTACCTTGCCAATTAACACAATCATGGAGAATCCTCACATGCCATAATGAATGGAGCAGGACCTGTTTTTAGCAGTGGCAAAATGAAAAACTAACATTTTGGACTGTGAACCACATTTTTTCCGCAACATTTGTTTAAGCATGCAAAGTCTGGGCTGATTTTGACCGTCGGACCTTTTAAACAACTGCTACTGGGGTTGCCAAATGTTTTTGCAAAGACTACTTGACGAAAAACCCGCTGCAAACACCAGCGTGTGCTGTGGTGAAAGAACAAGAGTACAGTAAAACCTTGGATTGCGAGCATAATTCGTTCCGGAAACATGTTTGTAATCCAAAGCACTCGTATATCAGTTGTGATCACGTGACGCTCGGCAGACAAAGCGTATACGTACTACTCGTATTGCAAGACCCTCGCTCGTTTATCAAATTAATATTTATTTTAAAAAATTGCCGTCTTGCAAAACACTCGCAGACCAAGTTACTCACAATCCAAGGTTTTACTGTAAAACAAAAACGTAAATGTGTGGCCCTCACCTCTCCACGTCCTTCAACATCACTGCGGCTTCTTCATGCTCGTTAACGCGGGCCAGTAGCTCTGCGCGAGAGGTCAACACACGAGGCGTGGAGTTCTCTGGTCTCCGCTCAAATATAAATCGGCCCACTGTACAACGTGCGCTGCCACCAGCAGTCAACTCCATCATCATCATCATCTTTTTCATCATCACTTAATATTGATACCGCGCCTCCCACGCAGTACATCACAAAGGCGCCCTGTGGCAGGGGGCACCCGAAGGGAGTTGTCCCTGTGCAGTGCAAAATGAATGCAACACCAGTCCTGCAAGTGGACTTGAGTCTGCCAGGAGGGGGACCATGTTGCTGTCACGTTCTCATTGAGGTAATATGCGTGGCATTGATCAAACTGGGAAGACTTAAACCGCGATGTTTCAAATGACACCATGGAATTGCTAACGTCTACTGTTTAGCAGTATTAACCAGGACGGCCGCTGCCCTTGAATCACAAACGTTCGCAACAAAGTTGCAAATGCTCTGTCACCGCCAGTATCATTACACTTATTTTAGCCTGCATGCCTTTTCTGGTTCATACGTTTTTTTTCGTGAGCAAGTATTAGGAGTTGGTTTATCCTTTCCCTGCATGGATGAAAAACATTAAAGGTGATGGCTAAGATGATGATGAAGATGATGCCAGTGATCGCAATGAAGGTAATAATAATGGACGAGTTAGAATTTTGACTTAAAACTTTCGTGACTGCAGGAATTCATATTCTATGGTTCTTTCGGTAAAGTCACGTAGATAGAAAATCTAATAAACATATAAAAATATATATAAAAAATAACAAAAAACTCACGACGTTTCGATCGCAACACAAGCAGTCGTCATGAGGCGGAGAGAAAAAAGGGAGACAAGCCTCTAACTGCAACTGCTTATAAAGGTCTAAATGGGCGCAAGAGCAGTGGAGCGGCGTTGTCCAAGTGTGTCAGCAGCATGTGCGGGGCAGCTAACGTTAATGTAGGAGAACACAAAGGGGGAGAGAGCAGGGAGAGAGGAGGCAGAGGTAGGGGGAGAGAGAGGGGGTAGAGATAGGGGGAGAGAGAGGGGTAGAGATGGAAATGGACGAGTTTGTAATCACAGAAATTATATCTGTGCATATTTCAGTTTTCACTCAGTCTTCACAGATTTTAATCAAACCTCTTTCCCCCAAATATAAAAGGACCTGTCAAATGTACCGAACGTCTATAAGCAAAATCCTACAGGTACGTAAGAGGATTTACTGGGAAATAGGAATAAATAGGCCTACTCTACACAAATATAAATAAATAAATGCATGTATCACGAACACTGCCTTCAAAACGGTAAAAATAAAAACGATTATAGCCATATTCTCAATCCACTAATGGATGAAGGCCTTCCCTTGCCACGTCAGTTAGGGGGATTTTTTTTACTATTCTTCACCACACTGGGCAGTGAGGGTTGGTGAAGGTGGGGTGGCATCACTGATTCTGATACAACTTAGTTGTGGCCGGGAATCAAACTCGGGCTCCCGTGGTCATGCTGCCTTAAAGAGCCTCCGCTAGTTCGCGATAGATTCTAACGACGGAGGGTGCGTGGTTGCAGTTACCATGATCCTCGTCGCAGGGGTAAAGTTGCTGGGCCTTGTCGAGGAATCTTCTCGCTTGCTTCGTGTCGCCTATACTCAGAGCCGCTCGGGCCTTCTCTCGATAGCTCATTGCTACGTCTCTATTGGCCTCCATAGACCCGAGCAGATCTGTTACCCACTACCGGAAGAGGAGAACAGCTCAACCCGGCTGAACTGGGCCTCTTCCAGTCACCTGCTTGCAAAAGAGCAAAGCCTATTACTCCATCACTGCCATCATCAACATCATCTTTGACAATTACAGTACTCCACTGCAACTGAATGACTCCCCACCTGCCATCTGCCGCGATATTGCAGCGCTATCCGAGATGGGGAAAAAAAAAACCAGAAGCAACACCGACCTTCCCATCCACCAACACCTGAACAACCAAACACAAAAGCGGTTAAAATCATTGCCGGCTATTCTGGGAAACAAGCGGCCAATATCCATGCAGCTGGTACCAACCCATGATCAGCATTTACGGAATGGCAACGTAAAAAATCGACACTTCATAAACAATTCTAGATTTGAAGCTTTCGTGACTGCAAGGATCCATACTCTTTGGTTCTATTCGGTAAAGTCACGTAGGTAAAAAATAAAACAACAAAAATCACGACGTTTCGGCCACAACACAAGCGGCCTTCATCAGGTGAAGGGACGAGACTGTCTCGAGGACAGCGCTGGAGTGAAACACAGCCAAGCTCAGAGGTGAAGGGACCAGAGACAGTCTGGTCCCTTCACCTGATAAAGGCCGCTTGTGTTGTGGCCGAAACGTCGTGATTTTTGTTGTTTTATTTTTTGACCTACGTGACTTTACCGAATAGAACCAAAGAGTATACTTCATAAACATCCTAACAGCATTGGCCCTTGGCTTCGACCTCCGTTCGAGAATCCACGCAGGAGAGACAGGCGATGCGGCCACCTCTTTCACAAGTGGCAGATAAGGGATGCCCCCAAGTGCGACTGTGGCCACGAGTCCCAGACGGTGGAACGTATCGCATTGACCTGCCCATGAAGGTCTGTTGCGGTAGGAGAGAGCAAAACTAGACATTCCATTGTAAGCTTTTCCCATAATACAAAAGAAGAGCATCCCCATTATCGTCGACAATTACAGTACGACAGTCATCATCTATTACAATGACAAAGCACTGAAGATGTGGATACAGATACCTAGTAACTGTATTCCTGCAATGCCGCACCTTAACTTTTAAATATAATAAATTGTGGTGAACTTGTATTCGTTCAGTCATCTATTACATTACAAGTGGAATTTAAGCACCACAAAAATCCTTCCGATAGCGAGCCACATTAATATCTAGCAGTACTGCGGAAAATATCCAAGGTGTGTTACAGAAAAGTAAAGAACCTCTTTCCGTTGACCCCAAGTGCTACGTTTACTGGGTATATTTTCATTATCATCACAAAACTCAGGACACTTTAAGAAGCTCAACTCACCACAACAGTTGAAAGGATGGCGATTGTGAATGGCAGTGATCCGGTTGACACTCACAGAGTGAATGATACATTCGTTGCAAGTCGTCTGGCACACCGACAAGGCATCATTACTGACTACGAGTTGTAAGCGATTGGACGGAACCTTAAGTGCCCTCCCTCAAAGCGGCGTTCTTCATTGCAACTGCCGCGGGTCATCCACCCGGCGCGGTCATTCGTGCGGTAAACAAAAAACGTAAGAGGCAACAACAAAAAAACCCCATCTAGATGGTGCTGTCAAACTCCAGCACGTGGCGGCCCTCACACCGATGTTGTCATATCGGCGAAAATTGAGTGAAGAGCACACTGGGTTCAAGCCTCTCCAACTAAACAGGCGACCCGGAGCGTAACAATGATACACGTGTGCCGTCAAATAGCACGCGCTAATCCTGCCATTTGGGATGTGATAAGTGTCTCAATGAAATCAGAATATTCATTTATACTCTTTGGTTATTTCCGTAAAGCCACGTAGGTATAAATAAAAATAAAATAAACTTAATCAAATCACAACGTTTCGGATTTGATTAACTTTATTTTTATTTCTACCTACGTGACTTCACCGAAAGAACCAAAGAGTATGGATCATTGCAGTCACGAAAACTTCAAATCTATAATTAATATTCATTTATACTGGAAGAATCCGATGAGCTGTAAGGCTCTTGTTTCACAGGTCAGACGGTTACAACAAATACAACAACAAAACCACGATAGGAGCGCGATGTGCAGGAAAGGTAACCACGTCACTTCAAAACTACGTACTGTATACAAATGAAACTAAACGACTTTTTGTTTAACTTCCCATGTAAGGCCCACCGAGTCGAGCTATTTACCTTATTGTTCACAAGCGGACCCGGCCACGAACGAACCATTTGCTCATCAGGTGGCTTCTCATGTTGATATTTTTTTTTAAATAATTTACGAGTCGACGGACAGCTGTTCCATCGAACGATGCACTACGTGTACTGTGTTGATCACATCTCGTTGACGTTGCGGCGAACCGGAATAGCGGCGTCTAGTGCCTGGCGGAATGAACGCAGAACGAAAGCGACGATACTTACACACACAAACACACGCACCGTGTTAGCTGTTATTATTATGATGACAATCAGCCCTTTGTCAATCCACTGCTGGATGAAGTTCCTCCTCCTGCTGCTGCTGCTGCACGCCGTGTCAGCTCTGCCGTTGTTTATCCATACTTCAAGCATTGCGGGTGTTTCGTGAACGGAGGGCCCAGACAAGACGCGATTACCGTGCGTTATAGCCGTGTGTTATAGCCGCGCGTTATACCAGTGTGTTATACCCGTGTGTTATAGTCGTGTGTTATACCCGTGCGTTATAGCCGTGTGTTATAGCCGTGTGTTATAGCCGTGCGTTATATCCGTGCGTTATATCCGTGCGTTATAGCTGTGTGTTATAGCCGTGTGTTATAGCTGTGTTATAGCCGTGTGTTATATCCGTGTGTTATAGCCGCGCGTTATAGCCGTGCGTTATATCCGTGCGTTATAGCTGTGTGTTATAGCCGTGTGTTATAGATGTGTGTTATAGCCGCGCGTTATAGCCGCGCGTGGGTGAGCGGGGATCGAACCGGGATGGTGCCCGGTTCGGGTCGCGGTGCGCTCCCCACCACGGCCGCCGTTGGACGCATCCGTAGCTCCGTGTCGCACGCACGAGTAGCGGCACCCCCACCCCCTGTTTACAACTACTTCACGAACGAAACGAGCGACTTCGACGGCGGATTCGGCACGACAGCTCAACGGAGCGCGCGTCGGGGAAGCGGGGGGGGGGAGGCCCAGCCTCACATCCTCCGTGTCCCGACGCGGAAGTTGAAGGCGCCACGTCGGTGCCACTCGCAACCCGCCCCCCGTGTAGCCTGCAACAGACTGTAGGGGCAAGTGCTGTTAGCGAGCAGCAGCAGCACCTGTGAAGGCCGGCACGGTAACACGAGGGTGGTGGGGTGGCCAGCAACCACGCCCGATCGCCTTTGTCTCCCCCAGTGGCGATGTTTTTACACACCGCACCAGGTATTCATTTGAGGCTGAGTCGACCCAAGAGAGGCCCCGGACCAGTTCAGATAATCGTCACTGGTGTTGGTGGCCGTGAGATAAACACACGCGATTGGGGTGGGGGGGAGCACCTGCAGACATGTGGGCGCAAGAGATACATGTGCAAATATGCTGTGTTTGGGTTTAATACAGAGGTGGAGAACCTTTTTTTCTGCCAAGGGCCATTTGGATATGTATAACATCATTCGCGGACCATACAAACATTTAATTAACTCATCCCTAATGCGATGGCTGGAACTGCTTCTCTTTGGCAAGGCGTGTGATGTTAGCTGGTATTGACGATGTTGTCGCTACTCGCAACTGCTTTTGCAGGTTTGCTCCTGGATTTATTGACTTTCGAGTCCCGTCTGCGGTTCGCCACCCCTGGTTTTAATAGATCACTACAGAGGGGAAGTGTTGAGAGGTGACGGGGGACGGGTATTCCAGAAACGTACAGCAGCAACGAGAAAATACTTTTTTTTTAACCAAAGTTTTAGCCAATGGAATGTTTAGTTGGAACAAGGAGGCACTTCTGAGGCTACGGGACGGAGTTAGAGGAACCAAGTGGTCCTCTTGAACAGTGGTTCTCAACCGGGGGTACGTGGCAATGTCCCAGGAGCTACTGAGGTCATTTATAAATGCGTGAAAATTATATCACCCATGAGAGTTATTGGTGAATAATTATGTATGAATCTGCAAAGATAAAATAACACGAAGGCCTTTGCGACCAATATCCATAATAGAGGTTTTTTTGGGTTAGATCGCGGAAATATATAAATGTGTCGTTAAAACCCGCCACCACCCGACACAGCCAACTAGTAAGGGTTGTCACGTAAATAGAACAGAACATGCCACGTGGCGCAAGAGCGCAGAAGCGTGGTCACCACATCTACGCCTCTATATAAAGAACGCAACAGTGAGACTCCTCCACAAATCTGTCTGTCGCCTGATGAAGCTAGTTGTAATTACTGGTGAAACGTCGTACTGAGGTTGTAAATGTTGTGGCTTGGCTCTCCAACACACCGGTGTTGCTGTACTAGTGACGAATTGGCCACGTTCTGTTTACGTGACAACCCTTACTAGTTGGCTGTGTCGGGTGGTGGCGGGTTTAACGACACATTTATATATTTACGCGATCTAACCCAAAAAAACCTCTGGTATGAACTACGATTAAGTTTGAATCGATATGATAACTTAGAACGATATAAACTACTTTTATAAACTCACTGATCATACACAATGCGGTTTCCAAGAGTAGCCATTGAGCACGTGGAGTGCGTCCGTTAAATTTTAGTTGCATTTGCTTGCAGTCACTAGCTAGTTAGGATCCCTTACAAAATGGACAATTTATGAAAATATTGATGTTCATTATTCATACATTTATTTCTCTGAACCATGTTGGGTCAGGCAATTGGGGGGGGGGGGGGGGGGGGGTACTCGGTTGTAACTAAATTCAACAAGGGGGTTACAGTAGCCAAATAAGTTTGAGAACCACTGCTGTAGATAATCTGCCTGACAAAGGGCTGTGAACTCTTAATGAAGTACTTGCATGCATCAGGCCGCAACCATCATCTCCGAAATGTAACAAAAATATATATTCTTGAATCGAATCAACATCCGAAATCTTGCCAGTAAAATCGTCGCGAAAGTGCCTTGAATCGTTATTAAACAAGGTATTTGCGTGAGATGATGGCAGGTGGCCGAGAACAATGACGGAGTAGCAGCACAGGAATGGAACGCGCGCAAATGTAGCGATAAAATCAATTCACGTGCAGGCGCCGGATGGGTTGTTGTATCACAGTGTGTCTGTACGTTGCACTTCTTTCGCACCGTACGTAGCCAAACGTGCTAATCGGAGGCGGCTTTGGGAGGATCGTCTCCCATCGGTGGCTTGAGCTCGGAGTGAGAGCGATGATGATTTTTTTTCTTCTGCTAAACAGTCCGCTAGAGGGCACCATCGCTCAACACCACGGCCTGCAAACGTCTCGTCGAATTCTGGGCTGATGCGGCAGAGGGTGCAGGTAACCCCCCCATTCGAGGTCTGTTTGGTCATTACCCACATGCGCTGGATGAGAAACCTTTAAATGCAGTACAGTCTATTGTATATATCTGCTACGGTGGTCAAAGCCGAACAATCCAAGGGGTAGCTGATCACAGCCACGTTCCTGTCTCTGTAGCAACAACAATCACACACTTACATTTCGATTTAAAGCTTTCGTGACTGCAAGGATTCATCTTCTTTGGTTCTTTCGGGAAAGTCACGCAGAATGAGAATAAAATAATAAAATAACAAAATAAAATAACACAATAAAATTCTCACGACGTTTCGGCCACAACATGAAGGCCACTTGTGTTGTGGCCAAAACGTCGTGAGAATTTTATTGTGTTATTTTATTAATTTATTATTTTATTCTCATTTTGCGCAACTTTACCGAAAGAACCAAAGAAGAATCACACACTTGACTGACATCCAATTAGTACGGTTTGTCACGTAAACGAAGCATGCCAAATTCGTTACGAGTACAGCACACCGGTGTGTTGGAGAGTCAACGACGTTTCGCCGGCAATTACAACTAGCATCATCAAGCGAAGCCAGAGTTGTGGAGAAATCTTCCTGTTTCGGTCTTAAATAGAGGGGGTGAATGTGATGTCGTCACTTATGAGTCAATCAGGTGCGAAGTCCAGATGAGATTGGTGGTGGGGGGGGGGGTAAATGTATACATATTAATTACCATGCCAATCAAGAATTGCAACGACTGCATTTATGCAAGGTCGGCAAAGACGTTTGCACAACGGCTATGGGCAGTGCACGTAATAAACAGAGCTCCTAAGACACCTTTGTCGAATTCACCGATCATCTCAGACGGCTGTATTGTCAATCCACTGCTGGATGAGTGCCCTCCCCACAACAGCTGTTGCAATTCTTGATTGGCATTGTCATTTATATCTATACATTAACCCCCCCCAACCACCAATCTCATCTGGCCTCGCACCTGATTGACTCACAAGTGACGACATCACATTCACCCCCTCTATTTAAGACCGAAGCAGAACACATCGACGTAAGGAATGATGGATCGAGACTCGTGGCGGAATGGCAGCCGAAAGAGAGACCGTAACACGAGAGGGAGGACCGCTTTCCTCCAGCAGTGGATAAAGCTTGGCTCGTGACGATGGTGATTAAATAAAGCTGCCCCAAAGGCGCTTTGCAATCTCAACATATGACACGGACTTCAAGCTTTTGGTTTATTGAAAACGATATAATAGAAGGGAAATGGGTACTGTCGTTGCAGTGGTTTGTAAACGGCACTATAACGTTAGTTGCTTAAGTCTTATTGGTGGACAAAATAAATCTAAATCAGTACTCTTACTCCCACCTTGCACCAAACACAAATTGACCAGCGTGGTGAAGTACGACCAACCAACAACGGCCGTGTTTGACACGGAATGGGAATCCAGCGGTAGATTGACCAAGGTCTGCAAATTATTGTTCACCATTGGATTTATAACAACTCATAAAATGACATTTAAGCGCTTTCGAAGTTGTTGAAAAACAATGATGAGCGCTTCAGTTCCAGTTCGGGTTGGAGAGTGAGTTGCATATTTGACGTCAACACAAAATAAAGAACTTGCTGTTCGAACGTTCTCGATATTCCAGTTGAACGTGTAGAAAATGATCATCTATTATTAATTACATTTTTTGAAAAAATCTGTGGAACCAACATTACGAACGGGAACACAGGCACAAGCCAATTCCCCCGCCCCCCCCACACACAAAAGAGTATAACCCCTACCAATAATTATATTTACTGTACTGTCAGATAAATAAAAGTGTGAATCCAATTGCGTACGAAATCACTGTACGGCAAGTCAGTGTGATATGTTTCATTGGTGTTGGCAAGTCTTGCACTTCGTATAGTCAAGAAATATAAACCAGAGTGATAAACGATTATTTACACACTGCTGGAAAAAGCCATTCGCCAGATTGTGTCGGTCATGTTAGTTATAACTTCACAACGCTGGTTGTTGCGGCATGTTGTAGAGGAGGCAAATACCTGGACACCATCGGCACTGCCGTTGGCCGTGACCGGGAATCAAGCTCGGGTCGCCGTGTCCATAACAACCACTGCCCCACGACTGATACAAAGATTTATTCACACAATTTAAATCGGCATTACCGGTCCATTTCTGTTGTTGCTCGTTATATTAACTTGCGCACACTATTTCGTTTCACGGGATTTGATTTGTCTTGTAGAATGTTGGCGTTTTCCATTGTCTCCCGAAAATAAATTAGTGCCGTGGACGCCTCTAATCCAGTGCTTTAAAGGGAATGTTCACAAACCCCACGGGGCTACAAGGTGCTCAGGAGAGGCCAGGCAACAGTGCAAGTGGGTTCGTGTACCTGTGTGTGTGGACCTCTGACCGTTAGCTCCTCGTATGATTGGTGGGTTATCTCCGGGCACAATTACTTTGGTTTCGCTCCTACGTGAAGCAAAACGCCTGTCGCATTGGACATGGACAAATGCACCATTGCAGGACACTCCTGAAAGATAATCAAGAGACTCCGTAAGAATATCCTTAATAATTACATCGCCTTATTGTTATTTGTGTGGAATGGTGGCGCAAGAGTTACCGCCCTTCGCTACGAGCCCAGTCACCCGTGTGTGATTCCGGACCATGGTTAACACCAGTGGCGAGTGATATCTGAACTGTTTCTGAGTTCATGGCCTCCGCCAGCCCGCACTGACTAACGTGGTGAAGTATGGTTAACCTGCCCCCATGCCTGACACTGTGAGAATTTTGATTTAAAGCTTTCGTGACTGCAGGAATTCATATT